TAAAAGACGTATATCAAAGGCACATAAAATGTAGATTAGCAGTTTTCAAGGACTCTCAAGCTTGGGAATTCACCATTCTTTGACGGCCATTTTCTCGATAGTTTTACCTCTTGCCCTAGACGACCCCCACCTCCTTCAACCGACAATATCTCGACTTCTAATCATAATAGATGAGTATTTATTTCATCCAAAAGCAAGGCAAATTAACTGGCTCTAAAACTGTACCAATGACTCTTTTGTTTGTTTTTGTGTCTTGAGTAAAGAGAACCACATTGATACAATACTAGTCATTTAGTGCTGGGAAAAGGTAAGACAGACAGTCAGATACAACAGAGGGAAAGTGAAGAAGTAGGACATTCCAGTAGCGCGCTCCAACTATCCGTTGACTCTTTATACCCGGAACCTGACGAGTTCCTGATTCCACCACGACTTGGCACTTTTTGTGATGACACCCACACAAAGATTTAAAGTGCGAGGACGTTACATTATCAAAGTAAAACAAGTGATGACGTCAGCTTAGAAAGGAAGATGAGACAACGGCCAGTCGTGTAAACATGGGACAAAATTGTGTTTTTGTTTTTTTCGTTAGAGTTTTGAGGGCACTTGTTAAACAATAAGGTCATATACCTGCTGAAGATTAGAGAGAGAGAGAGATATATAGAGATAGATAGAGAGAGAGTCAGAGAGAGAGAGAGAGTGAGAGAGAGCGAGAGTGAGAAAGAGAGAGAGAGAGAGAGAGAGAGAGAGAGAGAGAGAGAGAGAGAGAGAGAGGAGACTGGATATGAGTTCCCCTAGAAACAAACAGATTGCAGAACAAGCAGAACGCAGTGTGGGAGATCTCGGGGATGTATACCCTTCTATAGACCCGGCCCGGAGCCTGCAGTCAATGGATCGGTGGACCAGAGCACCACGGAGTATCTGCCGATCGTACTTTGATCTTACATCAAAAGGTGGATTATGGTTAGCTACTCCGTGGTGCAGTAGACTAACTAATAGGCACCGATTTAAAAAAAATGTGAACATGTTTTTACACCCGCCATTAACACTATACATATCATTTGGGAGCCCCTTTTCTTTTATTCTTTTTTTTCTTTTCTTTTTTTTTTTGGGGGGGGGGGGTTGTATAATGGCGTTTTTACACCCAATCGACACAATATAGATCATTTGGGAGGCGGGCTTCGACCCCCCGTTTCAGATTTACCATACTAAATCCAGATTTAGAAATGGTGAAATGGTATCCGTAGGTTATTTATGAGGTGGGTCCTCCGAGTTAAACGTCCATTTCCTTCTTTTGTGGTAAGTGCTTTACGGCGCTCGGAACTGCATAAGGTTCTATGAGCGCACGTGACACACTAAATATTTTCAGTAGGTAGGAAATTTCGAATTTTTGACGGGTGGAGACCGAAGCCTACTCTTATCGGTTTTGGACCATCAAGGGATCTTTAACGTGCGTAACTTGCACTCGGGCCTTCCGAGATTTTTCATCCTGGTGCAAGAAGACTAGGTGTAAATCTTTCCTATCAGACGATCAAGGGTGTGGCCGAAATACAGCAATAAGAAGGAGCCAAGGAGAAGCAATAAAAAGGCTGCAGAAAGAGTCAGGAGCCCCCCGGGGGGAGGTGAGGGGTGGGGGATGAAAGTGGAGACGAAAGGAGACGACAGAACATTGCTACAGAGCAGGAAAGGAGGTGAAAGAAGGTGAAAGGAGACAATTTTAGAAAATATTTTTTTTTCGGTCGCTACTCCAGAATCCAACCCGGGACCTTTGAATGAGAGGCAAACACCTTAACCTCTAGGCAACGAGAGCCCCCCCCCCCCCCCTCCGTCTATCTCCGAAAGGACCGAGACAATTGGGAGATTCTTGTTAAATGCCTTTCCCAAGGACACAATGTCGGACATAGCTAAGGCTCGAACCTTAACCCCGAATACAACACCCAAACAAAAAGACCGAGAAGCTTACTTTATAAACACCACACGCAAATCAACCTCGGTTTTTCTGCCTGCGGCGACGTAGCATCTAACCGTTACAGTAGAGATGAAGTAAACATAAGAAATAGAGGTTTACAAAACTAGTTCTGAAATAATACGTTATTGTAACAAACAAGATTTTCGTCAGACCGGTACTTTTAGAAGCATTTTTTATAACTCAATGCTCGCCTTATGTTTCAGTTAGACAAAAAAAAAAAAAGAAAAGAAATATTTATTGCAAATTTGAAACCCCTGACTCCTTACCGTTCATTCACCGACAAACAACACATATTTCAACATAAATGTTTATTTTTAACATTCTAAAAGACCTCAGGGGTCTCTAAAAGACTAGCAATAACAACAACAAAAACAATAAACAAAAACAGGCCAAGACTCCTGTTCTCACCTCCCGACCCTCTAAGACATTATCAAAACAGTGCAACAATGCCGTAACCACAGACTGGAAACTTGAATCACTTCCCGGCCAGCCAGCCCGGTACATATAGACACTGAACTGTTGGCATGTCTTTGATGTCAGCCGCTGTGGTTACAACATACGCAGTTTTCTCCCCTTGTCTGAGCATTTCACCAGATGGCAAGATCTCATTGGATGTCACCAGACAATAGACTTGTCAACGTCAGTTGTAAAAATCGTACTTCAGCAATATTTTCAGTGTATGAAGACCTTTTTTTCTTCTTTGAAAAACACATAATTGCTTTGTCTTATGTTTGAGTCAGGCACCGATGAAGACAAAGTAACAATAAATTAGAAAAATAAAACGATTTCTTGATTATTTGTATATTATTGAAACAAACATTTTTTTTCAAACTAGATTTTACAAAACCATTGTTTTGTCTAATGTTTCAGTCTGACGAAAAACAAATCTAACTACATAAATATTTGTTGCAAACTTGAGACTCCTGACCCGTTGCTATTTATTTGCCGACGAAACAAAACTCGATATTTCAATGGGTTGTTTTTTCTCCACTATTTCCGTGTACATTAAAATGCCTCACCAGTCTCTAAAAACAAACAACAAACAAACAATAAACAAAAGCAGGCCAAGACCCCGGTTCTCACCTCCCGACCCTCAAAGACATTATCAAAACAGCGCAACAATGCCGTAACCACAGACTGAAGACTTGAATCACTTCCCGGCCAGCCAGCCCGGTACATAATAGACGCTGAGCTGTTGGCATGTCTTTGATGCAAGCCGCCGTGGTTACAACATACACAGTTTGCTCCCCTTGTCTGAGCATTTCACCAGATGGCACGAGCTCACAGGCAGTCATCAGACAATAGGACAATAGACTCGTTAACGCTAGGTGTGGGGACCAAACTCCAATAATATTTACTTTGCATAAAGACCTGCTTCTATATATCTTTTAAAATAATGAACAAAGGCACGTCAAGACTCTGGTTTTCACCTCCGGGTCCTCTAAGAACATGTCAAAACACAGCAACAATTCCTTAATCAGGGACAGAAAACTTCAATCACTTCCCAACCAGCATGCTGAGTATATAAGGGATGCTGGTCAGTATGTGGTCACTTTTCTCTGGACGTTCCAAGGATACGCATCGTGTGTGGAGACTATCATCGTTTCATATCACCGAAGTTGCAAGACACAGCATGGATGCCGTTGAACAGCACGACGCTTTTTTCAACTCCTTTAACCTGGTGAGAGGCCCCTGTCTAGGGAGTGGCGCCTTAGGAGAGGTTGTTCTGGCCTCGGCCAAACACAACTCGTCGTTGAAGGTGGCGGTGAAAATCGTACCTTTTGAGACGGAGGAGTGTGAAAGCGACTTTCTCTCTGAAGTCGGCTTCCTGCGTGATCTGCGCCACCCCTGCATCCTCAAGATGATAGCGTTTGCTATGGATGATCACTACGGCTTCATGTTGTCGACATACTTCAAGAACGGCACACTTCGCGACACCATGTCGTCCGACCCCCCTGTGAAAGAACCACGGATCCTCCGACACATTCTCGACGTGGCCAGCGCTCTGCAGTACATCCACGGTCTTCACATCTTCCACCAAGACGTCAAGCCGAGAAACATCCTCTTGGATGACCAGGATCGTGCTGTTCTGGCAGACTTTGGACTGGCAAGACAGGCAAGCGACAGCTCCGCGATGGTGATGAAGTGGGAGACTACACCTGGCTATTACGGACCCGAGACAAGGAAAAGTCGGCCTATGAGTCCTTTCAAGGTAAGAATAAGTTCCTTTTTTTTCATCTCTTTTTTGTGGTCTGTCTTTTACCCGTTTAGCTCTCTCTCTCTCTCTCTCTCTCTCTCTCTCTCTCTCTCTCTCTCTCTCTC